CATTTTCCTAGTATCGGATACACCAACATGATTCCCACTGGTAGAAAATTGTGTACAAAACCATAAATAAGGGCTATTCTAAGTATAACCCTCATAAAAGCTTTTGATTTTGATCAACAAGGAAATGAGTGACTTAAATGCATTAAAAATAACAGACACGCATGTTACCCATATCCCTACCGACCTACAAGTACTTCACAAAGAGGGGGTTGCGGGTTGCTTGTCATTTGTAAGTCCTTAAATCTTAGCAGCTTTCTTTTTCTTTTATATAATTTTTACGGGGGAATTGAAATGAATTTTGGTTGATTGGTTGCCTCCACTGCGGTTTCCCCCTATTTGTTTGTTAATAAAATACCATTGCACAACCACTCTCTATTATTTTTCACGAACAGAGAGCTTTAATTTAGGGAAAGACAAATCCATGAAATGAACTGTCATGGTTCAGGGTATTCTGTACGTGCTTTTCTGTTGGGTGTGTCACCTGATTAAAGCGAGTGATCGAGTGAGTCGTCTTCACTTTGTGCAAGAAGATTTTATAAAACAGGTATATTAAATAAATCTTTCTGTAAAAAAATGAGGCCTTAAGAAAGCTTCTAAGGAAAAATAGTTTTCAAAAACGTTTTGCCAAATATATTTTTCTTTTGTTTGGGGCTTGCTAAGATTGTATTAATTTCAACTAGACATGGTAAAATTCACAATTTAACTTATTCTTAGGGTGATTCAATCCAGTGTGTTGCCTACGCTTAGTGCAAGGGAATTTGTTATTTAATTTATTGGTTATGGCAAGTCCATTTTGAATGAAATAAATGCTTTTAATCATAATTGAGGAAGATCATATACATGTAGGTGACCTTACAAAGTTTGTAATATTATAATAGGGCAAGAGAACATAAAGATATGAGCCTTTTTTAAGCCGCAAACAGGATGAAACAGGAGACTTCACCGGCCTTTTCCCAAAAAAGGGAATAGTCCCGCTTTAAATTCTGCTCCCCAGAGAAACCTACTTTACAAATTATTTAAATTTATAGTTAATTTAAGTTGTATTAAATTTAAATTACTGCACTTTGTTCATTTGCGATAAATAAATGCATTTCTTGATTCTCAGGTATCCCCTGTTTGATAATTTGTGCAAAACTCCTCTACACCGCCACAAGTTTTCCAACTGCACTGTTTCAGAGCGATTTCTATTCTCTCATGTTCTTTTTTTAGTTGTGTTTGTCTCATCAGCTTTATAGTAGTGCTGCTAAAATGATCCGTTGAAAGATATGTCGGATGAAGCTTCATACATGTAGGAGGTCACAAAAGGAGATTCACATTTCAACTCAAGTATGGTTTCAAGATGTCAACGGTCTACACTCGGCTGAATTTAAACAATGGCCTTCTGGTCAGGTGGGGGACAAATTTTCCCCCATATTTTGGTCGCTTAGGATAGAATTCTATAAAAAAAGAGGAGTTAGAAGGGAACGCAGTTTATAGTTTTAACTTTGCAATCAATACGAAGCACCAAATAAAAAAATAGTATTGGTGTTAGTGAGAGTAAAGTTCTTATAGATGAAAAGCCTGGTATGCAATACAAGCAAGTCTTTTCTTATACATATAATGCCGCCTCAAAGGGTAGGATTTTTGGGCCTTTTTGGTCTCAAAACACTTTCCAAATTTTGGTCTAGAATCGGGTATGGTTTTTGAGGAAACTACAGGGGTGTACATGTATCGTTTCAATTCCAAATGAATAAGAATGAAATACAAAAATGTGTGCATTCGAAATGCATTTGAAGAATTCATGTTTTCGTTTACACTCTAATCTGATAATGATGACATGATTTCTGCCTAATCAGGCCTAGCCTGTTCCAGGCTCCAAGATAGTTGGGTCTGCTGAATTGAGAAAGCGCAAACATGAAAATAAAACATGAGGAAACTGGGGAGTCTCTCCCCCACTATCTGAGAGCCTGGAACAGGCTAAATCAGACCAGGTCTGAGAATGGGTATGGATTATAGAGATGTCTGAAAACCAGTGTGGGAAATGACATTTTTTGGTTTGAAATAAGGTCAGGATTTGGAGAAACGGGTGGCACACCCCCACCCAGAATTCCCGGAAGTACCCCCCTCTGGGGGTCAGGAGCAGGGTGTAAATAATGTCATCATAATCATCACTTAGAATATAATGTTGGATGATTCATTTTGGTTATCATTCATGTACAGGTGAGTAATCCCTCCATCCTAAATACTGCTTTTTTACATCGTGGAATACTGCTATATTGACCCTATCGTCTGAGGGGGTGTTTTCATGAGAAAACTTGCACCGATATATCGCGTTTACATGATGACCGGGTCATTTCATATCTAATTATTTGAAGGTACACTTTGTGTTGATAAAATACATGTGTGATTCAAAATTGCAAACATTACGCATGCGCTACCTGTTCCAGTCTACCGGTGGACCGATTTCACACCAAAATGTGCGGTCATTTTGCGTTTACATGATACCGTTGTGAGATTTCGTACTGGTGTGAAATTCTCGCCCCGGTACAACAACTGGGGTAAACTCACCCCGGGGTAATTCGCGTCGGCATGACATTTTGTGGTGCTATCATGTAAACAACTGTGGAGCCATGAGAGGGAACCGGAGTGAACTCGCTCTGGTGTGAAAGTTGCCCCGGTGTCATGTAAACACCGGGCCCTGAGTTCTTCATTCCCTCATGTTCCCAAGGCTTTATTTGAAATGGAATAGTGGCATCTATAAGATTTTTACTCTGACTAACAACAATACTATTTTTTTTATTCGGTGCTTCTTACTGGTTTAAAACTATAAATTGAATTCTCTTCTAATTCCTTCTTTTTATAAAATTCAGAGTTTAATTTCATTTCCCTTGAGTAGCGGCATAACCTTCCTTTTCCATGCAGTATGCTTTCCTTCCCCACATGACGCTGACGTTGGGGAGAATAGACTGCATGACCAGCTATTAAAAGGAATGTTTGTGTGTGAGGCAAGGAGCTGGGACTACTGTTTTATGCTAATCCACATTCCATTTCTCTCAGTTTTTAATACGTTTCTAAAGCTGTTTTTATATACATAGACCGTAGTCCGTGTTTTATACCCAGTCCGGAGTCCGTGTTTTATTCCCAGTCCGAAGTCCGTAGTCCACAGTCCGCAGTCCTTGTTTTATACTGACCGATGTATCTTCCCTTCCCTATCAATTCTCAATATTTTAAGACATGGTGGGTTGACAGCCCTACATGTAGCCGTTGAAAAATTTAAATTCTTACATTTTTAAAAGAATGTTAGTCTCTACCACTTTTCTACGATCACAGAAGAGCCTTACCTTTAATTTAACTTCCCGGCCGACAGACTTTTTTTGCTGCTTTGCGTCAAAACATGTTTCCCGCTGCTGAAGTGGTACACATCTATACACGTAAAGGAGCTAAACGACGACGAATAAGCCACCCGATGGTTAACCGTTTAAGCCACGATATTGAAGTTCAGTTTAAACGGTGAAATCACTGTAAAGTTCAGGTTTTGAACAGTCACCTATTTCAGGCGCCATCTTGGCTGATTCTTGGTCCCAGATCTCACTCAGAGAGATTTAGACATTATACCACGTGACCAACCTGTTGTACTGAGCAGTTTCGTGCCAAGTTTAAAATAGTTTGGAACAGTTTTATCGATTTTTGCCCCTATAACAAATACAGATTTATTTGGAAAAGTGTAAAACAAACACTTCGCGCTGTTTTCAATACAGCCCAGGGCTAAGAGCCGATGATTCTTTTTAAGACCCTGACGGCAAACTGAACGACAGATGCTAATGAGACTTCATGACAGAATGGTGGTAATGATGATAATGTTGACGATGTTGATGATAAAGATAAAGAAGAATAAGAAAAAGAAGAAGAAGAAGAAGATGATGATGATAATGATGATGATGACGTTGATGGTGGTGTTGGTGCTAGTAGTGATGATGGTGATATTGTTTTTGATGATGATGATGATGATGATGATGATGATGACGATGACGATGATGGTAGTGATGTTGATTTGGGGGTGCGTTTCTTTAGTAAAATCCAAGATCAGATAAAAAATCCGGATCATCAGGATTTTTCGTTGAGAAAAGAAACGATGTATCCAAAAAGGGATTATTGTAAAGTGTTTGAAGGGGTTTTCGTGAAGAGAGAAAAAAAAGAAAAGAAACCGAAGAAAAAATTACCGAAGTGTTTAGTCTTATTTAAGTCTGCGCCCATTCAGACCCTCCATAACCATTTTCAGCCCTGGCTCTCCAATAATTGTTAATTATTTCACATGTTTAAAAAGGTGGTATTTGGCACTGAACGTTCTTATTCATTTGAAACTGAAAATAAACCGGTCACCGTACTTTTGTAGGTGAGCATAGTTCCATCTACATCTACAACTACATTTATTAAATTGGTAAAATGTTTTACAGACATTACGAACTATTTTTAAAAAGATCATAAAATATATACAATGCTCGGATAAAATTAATAAATAAACTCGGATGATACATATATAAAAATAAGTGAATCATAATACAGAGTAAAAAGCATAAAAGTATAAGTAATTCTTAGCTAGGTAGGGGAGTAATTTAGAGTTAAGTTTGACTCAACTATTTCCATGGGTAGAATATTCCATAGTCTTATGATCCTTGAGAAGAAGGAATAAACATAAAAGTTCTTTATCGCCTTATCTTGCCTATGTCTATAACGATGACTCCATGGAGTTCTAACTTCAGAATGGGGTTGTAGATAGCTATTTATATCAATATCAATTTGTCAGCGACTCTTCCGGTTTCAGACTTAACAGCAAACGCCCCGGTCCAAAATGGCTCAAAAAACCTAACCTGAGTTCAGGCTCTATTTTCGTTTCCCTTTGTAAATAACATTCCGGGGCCTGATCTCAGGTTACAAAAAAACAGGAATGTACCCCTTTTCATGTGGCACCTTCTACCTCAAAATATACCCCCAGCAGGGGCCGTTATTTTTAGCTAAGATACTAATAATATTAGTTTCAGCGACATCCTTCCGATTGTTTCCCTTTCGTGACGTCTACTACCCTTTTTGCTGTAAAGTTTAAATCGAAGTTTATGTAACTTCCTGCCGAGCCATAGATCGACTACCGTATTTGTACTTTGCCATCGGAGAAAGAGGTACGATGATGATGATTTACTTGCTAGAACTTTCTTTCTTTACTTAAATCAGTTTTGTTTACATAGCAACCCTAGTTCGACTCTTGATTATGGAATCATTTTTAGGTTTATGTTGCGCATTTACTGCACTGATTTCGGTAAATTAATTTAGATCATGTTTGTTACTCTCTTTGTAAGAAGTCATCACCTCCTTAAAAGAATCTAAAATAGGACGCCGAATAGCCTGCGTAGCTGGCGGTATTGTGTAGTAGTCGAGTGAGATTTGGCGGCGGAGCCGTTGTAATATAGTCGAGTGACATTTGACGGCGGAGCCGTCACGAGCGGCGAAGCCGCGAGAAATACCAACCGCCTCTTCCCTACTCCCTTTTTTTGGAACACGGCTTCGCCGCCAAAACTTTAATCTCGCACACACACAATACCGTCAGCTACGCAGGCTAGACGGCCAACAGAAAATGATGCACAACGGTCCAAGCAATAGGAAACTTTTTCCTTCTTTGCATATTTTAAAATAAACACGGAAAGATAGTCAGCCATATTCGAGACCTTGGCAGTTGTTTAACTGAAACCAGAGACGAAGTGGAGGGTTTGCAAACTTTCAATAATTTCACCAACTCTTCAAGCGTTTATATCAGGCTAAACAAGCATAGAAAAAAGTTTTTTATTGCTTTAATTTATTACATGACTTAAATTAAACTAAACCTGACACGGTATTACGGCTTTTTGATGACCTTTCCTACTGATGACAGAGGCCTCAAGCAGAGGCCGTCTTTTGCCAGCTATTTGACCTGCGGGAGGAAAAAAGAGAAGGTATATTTTCCGCCCACATCGCCTAGGCAGATACTTGAAGTGCGGTTTCTTTCACAATGTGGGGCCAAATTTTTTCTCACTGAAGACCTTCATTTTAGTAAAACAGTAATGGTTTTCTAAATTCGATGTTAGTTCTGTATTGTGATTCTACTGTCTTCTGTCTTTCTTTCTGCGAAAAAAGCTTGCATAGGTTTTTTTTCACGGGCGCCGATTAAAAGAGAAATTCTTACTAGTAGCCAAGTGTTGCCCACAAACGCGTAATCAGTTGGGGGCTACTGGTCATGCATATAGATGCATTTCAAAGTTCCATCCTTTTATGCTTTTTAAAAATAACAACTTTAGTGAAATAACTTTACATATCATCGTATATGTAAACATTTTTTCTCAAGTTTCAAACGTAGAAGAAATGGCCTTTTTTAGAATTGATTTGTCTCGAAACGCAGGCCAAACTCTTACGATTTCGCCTTTTAACATAATCTGACTATGTTTGTTGTTGTCGACAAATTTAATACAGGCTGAGCCCGGTCACGATAACTATTGTAAAAAGTACTCTCTGATTAACGTCGATCTTTCAAAGCAGGGGACTTAATTCAACATAGCCTGCGTTGCAAGCGTTTCCGTGTGGTTTCGGAGCAGAGAAATGGGAGCTTATAAGCAACTACGACGACCACAACGAAGACGTCAAAAAAAAAAACAACAGATTTAATGATCAAAACAACAACGCTGCACGTGCATCACCCTTTTTAGTACATTTCTCTGACGTCCACTGCACGACTACGACGTAAAACCTCCTAATTTGACGTTTTATGGAGGATGTGGACATACGACTTCCTTCCTCTTTTTGAAACTGAATAAAATCCTTAAGAATTCAACTTAAGGAAAAGTCGCCTGCCTTTGACATATCATTGAGCGGGTCCAAATAGACGCGAAGTAAGTTTGAAAGAACGCAAATTTTTTTGCAGACGTTTTCACTGCAGTCGTCGTCGTCCATTGCTTAAGGTCCCTAATGACAAAAGAACGACGAGGAACGGGATTTCCAGTTTTAACCGTGCGAAGAAAGGACCCGCTGTTTTCCTCGCTCCTTTTTTCGCGCGGTCTTTGACTCTCGTTCCTTCTTTGCTCCGAAACTGCTGGTAAACGCTTGCCAGGCAGGCTATATCCAACAGGGCTGCACTGCAAACTTAAACTGCAAACTCACTTGAACAATACTGATGGCGACAGACGTATTTTTTGCAAAGAGTGTTAAAGTAAACAAGTTGAGACAAGAATAATTAGCTTGCAAAAATTGTTAATTGCGTTTAATCTTTATGTAAAAACAGGAGAGTCATTGTTGGTGAAAAAACCCCTCAAAGAATTCTTTGTGGTGAAGCTATATCAGTTAAGGGAACCATGGCTGTGAACGATAGAGCAAATGATTTCCTCCGTAATAGAGAACAATTAAACATTCTATAATATAATTAAGGTCACCTATGAGTTGTTTCTAAGGAAACTAAGCTATGTCTACCTCAGTTTTGTGATGTGTGGTGTTAATAGCCTGCGAGCAAGCTCTCAATGCATTTGGGGGATATCGTGAAAAGTACACGCGCCAGCGGGGACGCAACAGCGATGGGTGGCCAAGGAAGGGATGAAACTCCTTTTCACCGCCTCCTGATCACCCCCGCTCGCTCGCGCGTCCTCGCGCGGCTCGCTTCGCTTGTCCAAATGGAGAGCTTGCTCGTAGGCTGTGGTGTTAAACCTATGCTAAACACTGAGCTAAACTAGGAGAAACGGATTTAACACTAAAAAAGAAATTAAAAGTCATCTTAAATTTGTGTTTAAGCTTTCTTTTTGTTTCTAAAGCTCCTATTAAAAATGGTCTCTGTCCTCAATCTCTAGCTGATCTTTTGCGCCTTCACAATCAATGAGGAATATAAACACCTTTCGCTTAAACTCTCAATACCTACAGATGCAAACGACGTAGGGAATAAAGTACAGTTAAAAAGGAAACAAAAACGTGCAGCTTGTTCCCAAACTGCAAAACGAATCGCGAGTCGAAAAACAATGTGGCACGTTTAACCGTCCACGTTCAAACTTGTTTTTCATCAAATCAGGTTGCTAGCATCTCTGCTTCTAAGGCGCGCAGTTCGTTATGGCGCTGGATAATGAACCCGCCGCGCTGACACGCCATTGCGTGATCAATTCTAAATTGAACACCGCATGCGCAGATCATGGGCGTGTCCGTTATTTCCTAGTCGTACCGTAACTTGATTGCAAATAATAATAATAGTAATAATAATAATAATATGACTATCATTATCATAATTTTATTATTAATATTGCTATTATTATTAAATCCTAAGGCCGCTCTCGGTTTGAAGATCCATTCCAAAGTTGTAAATCAAGGAATTTTGTAAAATGATTTTTTTTTTAATTTGGTGTTGTTCACTGGTTGGTTGGTTAGTTTTGTCATTGACGCAAGACTATAATAACAAGAATGCAAATAGTGTTGACTAACTTTTAAAAACAAAACACGTACACCAACCAATTAGTTTTGACAGGAACAATGCATTTAAGAGTCCCTTGAGAGCTCTTGGGGATGATATTGTTCTTGTTAATATGTAAAGCTTCTAAACATGTGCTTAACTGCGAACCTTGCCTTCGAAGTGCCCTATACACGAATCTGTACATCGCTGTGCAAGCTGTAGTAATCTGAAGTGAGTTTTAAGTTGATGTTAAGACCGGTAAATTGGGGTAGTCATTTTTTATTTTTACGCAGGGGGGTGATTACTCTCCATAACGTATTGATCTGTTGTGGTACTAAACTGACTTCATTAGATATAGTTATATTTGTACCATTCATATAAATATAGTGTCGAGAGCATATGTCTATAAAAAGTCACATTTGAGCCATTTATAGAAATAACAATTTCATTTGCCAATATTAATCACAGATCATTGTTTATGCTTAGGTCTTGACTGGAAATTCTGATCGAAACTCAACAGCATTTTGAAGTTTTACGACAGCAGTGGTAAGTATCAGTATGCCTGCTTTTAAAAGTACATTTCCAAAGGAATTTTAAGAAAGGTGAGCGAAATTCATTACTCGGGAATGAGAGCAAGCGGAAACTGCAAAATATGAAGACCGAGACACACTAGATTCGCAGGCTAGAGACGCACTGCAGGAAGAGAAAAAATGAGGGAGAAATGATGTCTGAAATACTGACGCGTAATTAAAGAACGAAGACGGGTTCATTATTAACTTCGCTACCCGACTTTGATCGCTCTACTATCCCGTAGAAGGATGAGGTACCACTGACCTGTATGGACACGACTTGTAGTTTAACCTAAGTAAACTTACCTTTGCATTTAGCAATCGTGTCACTTCATATCAGTGTCACAGTAAACAGTCAATTGCGTGATCAAGTTAAATTTCCTATTGTCCCAACTACAATAGCCTCTCACGCAGACGTTTTTAGGGGAGCTCGTCTTTTTCAGGCTAAGGTAAAACGTTCCTGCGGTGGGGAGCGATGAATAGCTGTATTCGGGGCGGGGTACAGTAGATCTTGCTATCAATGAAACTCTTCTTACTGTTTTAACCTTTTTCTCCCGTCTCTCCCACACCTCCGGAACGCCTCCTTTTCCTTTTTCACTCTGACCCCGCCCCTCTGTCCTCCCCCATATTTAACCTACCCACTTTTTTTTTTCAGAAATGCCAAATCGAGCGTGGCTACTTTCCGTTCTGTTCCCCCTGATTCTTACAGCTACAGAGAGTAAGGATTACGAGTTTAACGTGGCATGGTCATACCGTAGTCCCGACTGCGTCGAACGTCCTATTGTGACAATAAATGACGATTTTCCCGGGCCCACAATCCGCGTCAAGGTTGGGGAGGAGGTTCGCGTTAAAGTTAACAACAATCTTCCATCAGACGCTATCACCATTCACTGGCACGGTCAGGAGCAGCGCAAGAACGTGTGGCATGATGGGATAGGTGAGCGCAGTAAAAGGATTTCCTCCAAGATTACTCGAATCATGATACGTTTCTGGGAAACTGCCCACCTACCCCTCCCCTAAGCCAACATTAACACTTACGTTTCACGAGTAACGCTAGTAAACATTTGGTTGCTTTGCGCAATCTTGGTGGTTCCTATAGTGTGAGTCACGCTGACGTCACCTTGGTTCGTGAAAAAAAAAGGTTCTTTTGTTTCACTCGTTACAAATCTGAAGAACATGACATAACATTATTTGTATTCTAAATAGTAATGTCTCCTATATATTTGAAGGCCTTGTCAACTCATCAAATCGAGAGTGAATGTCATCGGAAAAAATCAACCTTCCTTTACAAAACGTGTATTCGCACACAAGTACCCTTCGATCTATAGGTGACAAAGTCGAGACTTACAAAAACCAGGGAGACAATTTACTGAAAAAGTTGTTCCTTTAAGGAAGGGGTTAGACATAAGAGTCTCGACTGTATCGCGCTTAAGGAGAGCAAGGGTGGTAAGATCAGTCTTTGAGAGCACTGGCCTCCCACCAGTGTGGCCCGGAATAAAATCCCGGCATCGATGCCATATGGGGGTTAATTTGTTGTCGGTTCTCGTCTTGCTCCCAAAGGTTTTTTCCCCGGGTACTCCGGTCTCTTCTGCCTATCCTTAAACACCAACATTTCCAAATTCCATAACACAACAGATACCACAGATGCCACGGATGGGCAAAACTGAAGGAGATTGAAAGGGATTGAAATTAGGGTTTTTGAAAACTGTCCAGCCTAACAGTTTTTCAAAGATGATCTCTGCTGTTTGCAACTTCAAAATCAATGCGCAGGAAACATATTCGTTTGTCTCGAATCTCTGCTTGTGTCATTTACAAGTAATTTCTTTGCTTACTTTAAGTTCCATGGCGATTGAGGGCGAGTAATTGGCAAAATTAAACAAAATGAACTGGACTGCCGTGACACAACCCCTTTAAATCGTTGTTTACGTCATGTAAAAAGCAACTGTAAATCTAACAACCTCTCCTCTCCTCTAGGGATGATTTCAAACTGTCCTATCCCACCCAAGACCTCCTTCACTTACATTTTCCGCGTAAACGATAAGCCTGGAACGTATTTTTATCATGGCCACCTTGGTGGAATACGCGCCGCTGGTCTTTATGGGGTTCTTATAATTGATCCGGCACCTGCAGTTTCTGAACAGTGGAGTTATGAAGGGGACCACACGCTGTTGCTAAGCGACTGGTATCATGCAATTCAACACGAGCTCAGTATTGGACTCTTGGAGGAGGAGTTCCGCTGGGCAGGTATGAGGGCTCAGTTAACTAAGTTAGTGTTACTTCTATATAAGTTATAAATAGGTACAGGGCCTCATTGATGACAGTGTCTTATAAACTGATAGGTTTTCTTGGATCCTAAGGACCTATATTACGAAAATCGTCGAAATTCAAACAATGGGAACTGGCACCAAACTGAGCGAAAAATAAAAACGACAGCTTCAAACATTAAAAGGATGTATAAATAACACAAGAAACACAAAAGTTGTTACGGATGGACAAACTTGCAGAAGATTAAAACGGATTGCAATTGTGGTTTTTCAAAACTTGTTAGCTGAACAGTGTTTCAAAGTTTATTTTTGGTTGTCGGTGAGGTTTTAAACATGTTAAATGATGCTTGGGAGACAAGAAGCTGTGATTTTGTAATTTGCTAGTAATTTCGTTGCTAACGTTAAGTTCCGTTGCGAATAAGGACGTGTAATTAGCAATATTAGCAAAATGAACTAGACAGCCGTGAAACAGCCCATTAAAAATATTCGTTATCATCATCATCATTATTATTATTATTGTAAGCGATTACGTAATTGTAGTTTGTGTACTCTGCACCTTTTTGTTAACGCCTTGTGTTTCGTGGGTAACCAAATTACAATTACAATTTTTTTTGTCGTGCTAGGTGATCCACAGTCCATTATATTGAACGGAAAAGGCTTCTTCAATTGCTCGGACAATGGAGTATCGGAAGGTACACCGTTTCCTTATTGGAAACCCGTCAGAACAGTTTATTGCCATCAATCTAAGTGTCCGGGACACGAAATACTGGAGGTAGAGAAAGGCAAAACCTACAGGCTACGTCTGATAAATACCGCTGAACTTTCGTTTATGAATTTTGCAATCGAAAATCACAGTTTGACCGTAGTGGAAGCGGATGGGCTGCCTGTGCAGGGCATGAATGTCACATCGCTAGATATCAATTCGGGGCAGAGATATTCTGTTTTGTTTACTGCTGATCAAGCTGTGGACGCTTACTGGGTCAGTGTCATGACGCGCCACAGGAAGAACGTAGTGACTGGTCAGGCAATATTAAAGTACAAAGGAGCCAATAAAGACAAACCTGACACTGACGTTGATGTTGTCAAGGCAACACAACCCACCTGGGACAACAGCAGTGCATCTTATGCGCAACAGAGTCAGCTTCACGGTAAGGACTCGGCTCCTCCAAACGACAAAGTGACACGAAGGATTGTCATGCTTGGTACTCAAGAGCGTTATGATTGGTCAAGTGGAGTCCAGTACAATAATCCCATGATTCCACCGGAGGATAATTGTAATAGTACAGGACGCCACCTGCGTTGGGCTGTGAATCGAGTGAGCTACAAGTGGGAGACCACACCTGTGTTACATATGGTTTACTTTAACTTAGCACCGAACACTATGACTGAAGAGAGAGGATATTTTAAAATCAACAGTGGTGACGTCATCGATATTGTCGTTCAGAACTACCCGGCATGCAACAGGGTATGACCTAATTCAATTTAGACTATTCCACAAGCCGTACGAATTATGTTCAAAACAGTTTAAACTATAAAGGTTCGGTGCTGTAGAATAGACTACCGGTACCTATTGAGCTGTGGCAGGCCCTCCCTCTTTATGGATGCAGTGATCTCTTCTGAAATACGGTCGATCGCTTTGCACGGCATTATGGAAAGCAGGCACATTTTTTCTTTCTGTTTTTAGAAATTGTTTCTACTTTAATCAGTTACGTTTTTTAAGTGGTTCACTTTGCCCTAATGACTTTTAACCGTGGATAAGTAAAGTTATCCTATTGTATTGTATTATAGACTTAATAATACCCCGTTTTTGTGCTTGAATTCACCTAAAAAGTTTGCGAAAGCTAATGAGGTGGAGCTAAAAGGTCTGGGACAAGTCTAAATACAGATATAGAATTGGAAAAGAGGAACACAGGATTGAGTCCGAATAAGGACGCGTAATACATGTATTAACAAAAGAACCAGGTAGCTGTAACAAACCTCCGTAAAAGGCAAGCTAACTGTTTTGACCAATTCCCTTCTAGGTGTGTGAACAGCATCCTTGGCATCTTCATGGTCACAAATTCTGGGTGGTTGGTATGGGACTTGGTAATTGGAATGGATCTGCCGAGCAGATCGCCTCTCTTGAGCCTGAGAACGCCGTAAAACGAGACACAGTAACTGTCCTCCCAGACGCAGAGAAACCTTTCGGAAGCCAGAAAGAACAAGGTAGGAAAATCGGCTTTAAAGTAAGAGACTACACCGGGCGTGTCTCAGGCTTTATGTAAAAGATGTTAAATTGGCTGAACACAGTTTAGGCAGTTTCTGGGTATGTGTCATTTGCCAAATCATGGCAGGGGAAAGGTTGCAGCTGACAAGTTGAAACTTGGCAAGTGAAAATTATACTGATGAAAGATTTTGACTGACAGGTAAAATTTGACGTTTTTTTAGTTTCCATGGTAACATGAACGATTGAATGCAACCTTAACATTTCACTTTGGCTCAGTTTACAAACTTGCGCTCAACTTACTATAATTAATCATCACCATTTGAAACTTATTTGACCAAATTTTAACAGACTGGTTTTTAAATAATCAATAATATAATTGTACTGTAATTATTAAATGTGTCAAATTGTCTTTTCAACTTCCATTTTAAAGTTCTCATTATCTAAAATACGATATAAGTAAAAATTCTGCCAAATATCACAAAATTGTAATGAGTAGATTATATTATCCGTCTGAGACGGATAATCCATCTTCAAAATTCGTCAAAACTAACGAAAAACAGAAGGATAAAGTCAGGCGGATTGTCAATCGAAAATTAAGACCGTCCCATTTTCAAATTAAGACGTATTATCTGTCAGACGCGCATTATCCAATGGATAACCGTCTCAGACGAATAATTTTTCTCTCGCGTGAATACGGCCGATTTTGGACGAATAATCCCGATTTTGGACGAAGAAAACGCGTCTCGCGACTTTCCCAAAATTTCAAACGCCGACGCGGAATTTTGAAGACGGATCATCCGTCTCAAGTGTGAAAACGGCCAATCTAGTCAACAAGTATATTTTTTCCCCTCAGGTGGTTGCGGTTGGGTAGTGGTCCGCTTTGTGGCTGAAAATCCTGGTGTTTGGCCGTTTCATTGCCATATCACCTGGCACTTCGTCATGGGTATGCAGGTGATTTTCATTGAATCTGCAGATAAACTACCAAAACCTTCCTCCAACATTCCAGCTTGCGGTGATGTGACTCCCCAGATGTTTGTTGATAAAATGAAGTCCGACGAGACCCCGAAAGCTGGTGGGGAGAAAGATTGCAAAGATGATACAACCTTACTCGTAATCCTTGTCATTGGTTGGAGTTTGTTTGTCGTTAGTTTTGTCTTGCTTATTGTTTTGATTTGTAGATTGAGACAAAGGGTAGAATTCGGTTTGGTCAAGTCAAACAATGTTGCCATGACATAAGTTTCCTTCCCACTACACTTGAAATCACGTTTGACTTAAGTTTGTAAAATTATAAGGCCCTGCATTTGTATAGAGGGGAGAAGTATGACGTCACGTTACCATGGTAGAAAAATCTTTTGATCACAACAATAGGGAGCTTGAGCAACGACGACGGCGAGGGCAACGAGAACGGCAAAAAAGCAATAAGTTTATTTTTGGCAAAACGACAACTTTGCACGTGCATCACGCTTTTTTGTGTATTTCTTAGCCGTCGTTGCGCGATTGCGACATGAAACTGTTTCAGTGAGTGAAAGTGCGTGAAGAGTGCAGTACGTGAACGCAACCCCCAATTTTTTTTAGAAATGGTCCTTTCAGATTCCAACCCAGAAAATTATTCGCCAACATTTGACGAATTAAATGAAACTTATTAAGATCGGTGACGTTTGAAACAGTACGAATTCACTTTTTAACCGACGTTTTCGGTTTGTTGTCATACAGAAATTTTGCTACCATGACAACATGACATAACGACTTCTCTTCTCTGTTGAGAAAAGATGTTCCGGCTAGAAGGCTAGGCGAGCCTTGCCTAACCCTTCCGGTCACGCGGTCCGAGCGAGTTTTCGTCTCGGATACGTCACCGAAATGCATTAACCAAGAAGGGCTGGGAAGACGCCCTACAGAGACTAGGCAAAGCCGAGCTAACTTTTCATTCATTTCCTTATAAAACGGGGCGAATCGTTTACATGAGAAACCAACAGTTGACTCGACTAGAAGGTCACCCTTTTTTGATGGTGTGGTTACCTTTCGACAATTATAAACAATTTGCATTGCTCCCCCAGCGGGGTCAACTCGGTCAAAGGGAGGCAATCAGAGCATGTGCGAGCACTGTTGGCTCGATCAAATGGGTCAATTTTTTTCTCATATAAACGCTCGCTAAAGTTGACTCGACTGAGAAGGTGATCCTTCTACCCAGGACAGGAGGATCATTACACTTTTCTGGGAAACAACCCACCTATCCCTCCCCTAAGCCAACGTTAAAACTTACTTCTCACTAAGGGCAAAATGTTGTCTTGGGGGAGGGGTAGCTGTTCAGTTTCCCAAAACGTATAATGATCCCGTTAGTCTAAACAAACGGTGCCCAATTATCTGACTGCGCACTAATTACATGCACGGTAAAACATATGTTCAGCGGGACCCCTCGTAAGAAAAAGACAACCCAGTCACCCCTCCGTATTTAGCTGACGCGTTCGTCAATTAGATGCAAACCTTTCTTTACACGTTTTCTTTAAAACTACATGTAATCTGAATTAACAGACACTAGTGAGAGTCCCGTGGATGTCCGCTTAGATTTCTGTCCAGTTTCTGTATGACTTACTTTAAGGATTTTCCTTTGCATGCTTCTACCATAATTGTTTAAGTCCTACTTAGCCAACTTTAATCAGGGCGACTTCCAGTTTTCACCTTTATCAATATTCGGGAAAATGCCTTAATTCCCCTTTTTTATTTTTCACATGTTTCTGGTCATCGTTACACTGGAGCAATTTTGATTAACCACCAAGGTTAGATGTGTTTGTTTGATTTGCTAACGTTAATAAATCACTCTCTGTAGCTGTGTCTACCGTTTCCTTTGCCTTCACACACAAAAAATTTGGTTCCGTTTCGCTCTTTACGTTTCTCACTGCAGGTGAGCTGGAGAAACTCTGGCATCCAGGGTATTCAATACCATGACAACGTGAGTCGTGCGACGCCTGCCTCAGTTTCGCATGTATGTTGCTGTTGTTTTCGTTTTACAACTGGTTTAGTATTCGATTCATACACAATTCAGTGGCCTCTTTACGTCATTTATTTGTGGTATTTGACTAGCCTGCAATGCAAGCGTGTTTTCTTTGGCGGAATAAGACTGCTTGTTTAAGGTTTTGTCAAGCGGGCGCCGTAACAAATTAACATTGTGGAGAGTAGAAGAATTGCAACCCTTGTTAGCTCTTGTTTATGATTTATGTTTCCGTGGCCTTGATTGGCCGCCATCTTCAGCGGATACCCTATTTGGCAGCTGTTTTGATATGGATGTCCAATATCAAGTTAAACACAATGGTCAGTTATTTCAATGGAGTTTAGCCAGTGTTTAACAAAATGCGTTCTTCCATTTTAAAATAACGTTTTATCTAAGCACTATTTTTCGTGAACAGTTTCATTAAAGCATATAACTAGATTCAGCGGATTTGTCTTCTTATTTTAACCCAGCTGTCGACTGGAGGTTCAAAACAAACCGTAGTTGTCCAATATCAAGTTAAAAACCCAATTTGTATATTCCTTGGACTTTTAAGCTAGTAAGACATTTCACATCCGCTAACATAAATGGGCGGACGTACGTACGGACGATTTTCTCAAAACCAAAATTCTTGGATGCATAGATAACCAAATTTTGTTACCAATGGTTGTACGCAGCAAGCGCGCGCTCGATTAATGAGAGTATCAAAGCAACCCATGTGGGAGAAGGCAAGCGATTTATTCGTTATTTCCGACCTCTACGACTCTCCCCAACTCCATGACTCTTCTTGGGATTCAGCATGGTGGTAACACGAGCAGAGACATTAGCACCCCTGAAGTAAATGATGCACGGCTGCATTGTCTTAAGCCAGCCTCGTTTCCAGGCAGCAGAGACCCTGGGAACGAGGTTAGTGTTAAGCTTGGTATTGACGTCATTTTATCGGGTCTCTAACTTCGGTTTCTGAGACTGTGTCATTTTCAATCGTTGCTGTGGCTGAGATTCTAGCTGCCATGTAGAATACAAAGAGGACTTGTCCAGGTTGGACATCTAACGTGACGGGAAGCTGGCGAGAAAGCTTCTTGTTTGATGTTTCCGCGTCAATTTTCACTCGAAATGGTTGATTTGGACACAAATTGGCTACTTCATATGCCTTCCCTTTAGAATAACGTCTTTCGACCAGCCACAAACACGGTCTATTACTTATGTTTTTAACAACAGAACGTTGACCAAAATGTTTCCATCTTTCAAGGGAGTGAGGAACCAAACCGCTACTAGACGCGTTGTGTGAGCAAACACATAATTTTAACTCCACACCGCTATCCGCGCAGATTTGGTATTTCCCAAACAACGTATGTCGGTCATAATTTAACAGCCTCATGTCTAAGGAACTTCTCGGAGATATTTCCTTCGTCTGTACTTCAACATGAAAGATATCCTGTTCCTGAGGAACAACGTCTCCTGCCTTCACACGTATATCCATGGAGGTTATCAGTGACTGATCAATTTTGGAGTTTCTTACGCGAACATTTTCAAACCATAACGGCTGTAATCGTTGGCAGGATGGTTTAATCGCCTTGGAGCCATTTTGAACAGACGACAATGCGTGGTACTGTTTCTGCAAACGGTTGTTAAGCTCCCCAATTGCAAACTCAGCCACTGGGATTCGCGACGTGTCGTTATCTGCGGGGATATCCCAGCCCTCGCAAACGCACAAATTAGGAGTCCTAAGTTCCAAGTCATCGCAAGTGCGATTCTCCGAAAAGGGAGTGAACACACCCTCTGGTCTAACACCACGAAGGGGCGTGGCTAAAGACGTTAGAGAACGGTGTAAGTCGATTATTGTAACGAGCCTTCGCTGGTTTACTTTTAGTGCGGACATGACGTCTTCCCCTAAAAGAGAAGCTACTTTGTCCGGGACGATAAAAAATAGGCTTGGATGAAACATTTCAAAGCGTCCTTCAAGAAACTCCGATGCGTACCGTGTATACGTGTTCCCATGATCTGCAAGAATGATTGACAACGTACTTTCGTCCTTGGCAACGCTACTGACATAGTTTTGTAGGGTACCATCCAATGTTTGCGTGCGCACGCTTCTTTGGTCGTGAGCTACGTTAAGAGCCGTATACATGAGGATCGGCTTAGCCTTTCGTGTTGATCTTATGGCATTAAGGGTATCCGCAATATAACGAAGGAAGTAGCTGTGTTGGAATTGTCCGTTGAAGCAGATTTGGTCACCCGGTGGTCCGTTGAAGGGACTATCGATCCCCATAGAATTTAGAATCTTGCAACTCGAATGCGTGAGGCCTAAGAACCATCAAACACATATAGTATTAGTTATAGGCTTGAGCTCCAGACCCTCGACAGTATAAAGTGCATGAGACAATGAACTGTTGTATTTAAGGCCGCTGGGGTAATCGAAGTCGTGACTGTCCAGTTTGCTACAAGCCGGCTGAGGTATAAAACTCATTGCTAAAATCCCTTTTACAATCTAGCTTCGGTTTCTTTTCGAGAGAAAGTAAGTAGAGCGCAGATATTCTAACAACTATTTTCATATGACGAGCAAAAGTAAGTTAAGGGTTGCATCATTTTTCACTTCCGGTTCTGGCCTCGGTTGTTGAAACGCTGGATAGCACTAGATAAACTACTACCTAGCGGATAAGTACATTGGATAAGTGTCTGTACCTGTATGATCAATATATGTTGATTTCATCTTCTCCTGAAGTCTCTTCCAGTTTCCCACGCCAAGATCAGTCATTAGTCCCCAGATCCCTTTCCAACACAAGTCTTCCTGCCAGACTGTTTGGAATCCAGACCTCTTGTAATGCCCAAACAGCGCCGATATGTTAAGTGGAGGAGTTTTATCTTTCATTTCATCAGGAAACAACTCTCCAGTGTAAAACGCGTGCATATTGACAGCAGTGTGGCCGTGCACGGCCTGGAACAACTCGAAGTCGAAAACTTTGGCGGGAAAAGGGGCGGGATTTTGGCGCCAATATTTGAATGTGGAAATAGTTCTGGGTAAAGAGCGGTAAAAATGAGCTCTGGAAAGAGAATCGATCAATAAAATGTTTACGTTAATTACTTGTTCATTTCTAGTCTTATTGGTTTCTTCCATAATGAAACGTGGGTCGAATGGAATTAGTTGAGAAACCTTCCTTCCATGGTGATTTGTGCATTCAATAAAGACAAAGTTGAACTTGTTTTGTCTGTTTTTTACAGCAATAGCTGGTAGTCCTTTTTCGAGATCTCTTACCGTGGTGAATGTATTTACAATGTTTGTTAACCCTGTTTCGGGGTTAACACCATAAACTTTAAGCGAATCGTTTTTTCCTTGTTGGCAAAGTGCTTCGTTGCATTTAAAATGTATTACATTTCCCTCGCTTGTTCCACTTACTTTCATTGTGCAAATACTGGTAATTTTTCCCTTTTTACACGTTGATAATTCAGGACGAATGAAGTACATTTTTTTGGCAAGTTCACACGAAGATTCGCTCGGCTCGTGGGGTGTACATAGCCCATATTTGGCATCACCTGTTGGCTGGAGTGACATCTTCGGACAACTTCGGGACGAATCAGATTTCAGCTCCTCTTCGGTTTCTTTTCCCGAAGCAGTTGGTATGTTTGATATATTTGGGCTTGCATTGAGCGTCTTAGTGAATGCTGTAAGCTTAAAATTGTAAAATGCCATGCTTTTTCTCGCCTTTATGTCTCCATCGTCAGCAACCCCTGTGACTTTGTAGTTATCCCAATATTTTCTCTCACCTAGAAAATACCAGTAGAATAACAGCAAAGAAATCCCCAGCAGGATAACAATTTGAAGAAATTTGCCACGTAAATTGGCTGTCGAATAGTCAATAGGTGAAGATCTGAAAGACATAGTTGGTTTGCAGCTTACCCCTGCCTGTAAAAAACGGATTAACAGGTTACTTCTGCCAGTAATACCTCTAACATGGTTATATCCCGGTTGTAAGGCCCCCAGGTTGAAAGCCCATCTATTTGTGAACAGAAATTTTTCTCCGCCCCCCCCCCCCCTTCCCAGTCCCCAGTTATAGGGCCCTCTGTTTGTATTGATATATGCATATCGTGTTTAGTAGTTGCCCAGTTAAAAACATTTTAAGTTTTGATTGTACTTTGGTTTAAAGCCCACCTTCCCCTGCTCCCCCCCAACACACGGGGTGTATAAGCCCGTCACAAACCTCGTTAGAGTCCGGGGAAGAAGACCGGAAGCACGGAGCCCACGCTCAATGGAACCGATTTCATGGTATCTTATTGAGTTAACGTAGGCCAGAAAATTACTATCGCCCAAAGATTTTACTGTCTAATGATTTCAGCGGCTGTGTATGTTTCAAGGGGGAATGACTACGATATCAAGTTAGATTAATTTTTAGATGACTTTTGGTACTTGGTACGTATAACTGTGATTAATAAGGGTCATTGTATCATACAAACAATCTGACTGCGCAAGTGAGTTCGTGTCGTATTGTGGGAGTTTCTTTTGTTCGGACATCTCAGAGACTCTAACTGCAAAACCGAGGGCCTTTTGCGGAATGCAATTACCATGACTATAAGATACTGGATTTATTAACGTACTTAGATATTTTAGAAATGCAATTATATTGACCACAAAATCTTGGTGAGGTACCCCTTTGGCCCTACTTGTTTGTAGTCACCATAAATTAGAACCTTTTCGGCAAACGGTTTTTTTTTTCATCATTGGTCATTTACGAAAGAATATCACTTCAGTACTTGAATTGCTCTAGGAGCTGAAGTATTCTAACTATACGGACACAGAGATCACTCAGTGATAGTTCACTTCACCACTTTTCAAACTGTGATTCACTTCAGCCTTTACAGTATGATTAGAAAGACAGAAATATTTTATCAAGAACTCAACATACCTTGGTTTAACTACTCAACCCGCGTTCCTGTGACGAAAGAAAATCAGTAAAGCTTTGATAAAAAGAAGTAGACTTTCCCCATAAACTTCATACAGCATTAAAAAGGGACTGAGTCCATCAAAAAAAGATAGTCGTGCGCTGACTGAACACCATTCAAAACCATTCGAGTTATCAGGCGGGTTGAGCAGGGAATCTTGGGATGTCTGAAACAATTGGTCACTGATTGGTTCAATGTCAATATTTAAAGACGTATTTCAATTTTTCGCTTTTGTCAACCGATCAGCAAATTGTATGGTATGATGAAAGACCAGAGGAACATAGTCAAGAAAATGATATTGTATTAGCTATTTTCAAACGGTTACTCAGTTTGACGATCGAAAAATATAAAACAGTTTACTGTAAAACAATTTGTTGTGAAAAATGAACCAAGAACTCCTCTGTTTGAAAATAATTTCAAGATTATAACAAAAGGTATTTATTCACCTGACTTGATTTATAAAAACTTTGAAAACCATAAAATGGTTTCTTTGTGTAAATACTTAGGTTGCTTTATCCCCTTTTTGTTCAGTTTGGCATAAAGGATTTTAGGATTAGAATATTTTGTCGCATTTTTCATTTATTTTTTGTTAATGCTCCGATTTTGACAACACAGGTACGGTTTATGGTTATGTAAAATGTTTCGATGCTCTTCTATAATCGACAGCTACAATAAATTTTGGGAAAAAAAAATAGTTTTTGAATTTTCATCAGCCTCGATAAGCATGTGTAACAATTAAGCAAGATATAAATTACAATGACCAAAATCAAAAGACAAAAGCACTCGGGAAATGAGGAAAACCGTTCAGGCTGTACAAAGCAACAATGTTGATTCAACTGAGTGACTTGTTAACTTAGGTTGAGCATTGTACATACCCCACCAGTAAATAGTGCTTTACTGGCGCGCTCTTATTGGCTAGCTCTAGGCTGATTATACCTTGCTATTCAACTCCGAGAAAACCAAAAAAAACCAAGTTTTTAAGTAGCTCCTCAAACAGTTTCACAAATAAAATTGCCTAAAACGCGGTCCAAAAAGTCCAAATGTATTAATTACTATCTATCAAAGATACTAAATTACTCCGAATAGGTTTTTCGGGAAATATACTCCTGACGGTTATTTATTTTTGGCGGTGGTGGGAAAGGGGGGGTGGGGCGGCAGGCCTCACATGAAAGCTTATGTCAATCCCAGACTAGAATATGTGATTTTCCCCACTCCCTATCCTATTTTTGGCCTGGGGCCCGTTTCTCGAAAGTCCCCATACCTTTTCGGGCCCGAAAAGCTGTTTTATGTTTGCCGTGTTTGCAGTTAAGATCAAAGTTTCATTAATTTTGAAAATGATACAATGCAACTATCAGTTAGCGAAGCAAAATTGACCGATTTGTGACCTAGGAACTGTGCTACGTTTGAACAGGTTTCGGATTTAAAAATCAGTGCTTTCGGACTCGAAAAATTACCTGGCCTCTCGAGAAACGGACCCCTGACACGCTATTCTCAAGAGACGAATGATAGAAAAAAAAAAAATACCCAATTCCAGATCCTGGTACCAAAATCGTTCCCGATTTTAAACCAACGCGGCTATAGTCTATACGCGATTTCAAACCTAGAGGGGTGAAAACACATTCGCTTTTGGGATGCACGTGTCTTCGGTAGTTCTCGGAGGGGTATTCAAGGGAATATTCCTGACCGGGGAGGCATCCTATGAGTTGCTCAGTAAAAGAAAATTACTACAAAAAGAAGTGAACGCGTACTATTCCGTCCTCTGTATGGTGCCTTTAATCTTGTTAATTCCGCAAGGGTGTTTTCTACTTTCCAGTCTGAAAAAAGACGTAAGGTGAATGTATTGTGGCGATTTAATAAAATGCACTCGCCCCGACGTTTCCTGTTGCATTGTTTGTTTTGGCGAACAAATGGTTACCCCCGTGAAGTGAAAATTAATGCAATGGGAGTGATTCAAAACAAAAAAAGGCTTTCTTTATCTGATCAACTTTTTTACTTTTGCTGAAGGGGTGGGTGTGGGGATTAGGCCAGCGCGTTAAACTTATTCCCCTGACCAAATAACGAATCATGGAAGGTCCTTCTGGGTCACGGGAGAGGAGAATACTGCTGGAACGTTCGGGAAAGAGGTACTAGCGTGTAAGGCCCCTAACCTTATTTGGGAACAAAAGGATTTTTCTTGCCCTAATTCAAACCTGAATCATTCATTGTTCTCAAGAAACGAATGCCAAAACGTCATACTCGATTCAAGAACCTAGTTCCAGAGAGCAGAAAAATCTACTCTATTTCAGAACCAGACGCGGTTAAACTTTAATCTCAATTTTAAACCAATTGGAATCAAAAGCGATACCCTTCAGGAACGCATATACCTGTATATCTTATGTAAAGTGGTAGACACCCTCCCTCTGGGATCTGGGTTCTTGTGAGACCTGAAATTGTGTCCACAGACACTTTCCTAAGAGGGCTAGCGGTTTTGTGAAATTATTTTATAAAAAATTAAGAGTTTTAATCTTATGTCGGATAAAGCGTCCCTCGGTGATCACTACAATGGAAGAATGCTGGAAGTTAAGGAATATTCATCAAAAAATAATTAAGAACACTTTAAGAGAACAGTTAAAAAGTGATTTGATTGCCGGTGGGCGGTTTTTGTCCGATCATTTGTTTATAAGATCTTTACAAGGCGCACCGCTGGAAAAGTTTTTTGACTATTTAAAAAAAAGCGGCCTGGCTTTTCACCCTCATCAATAAATAAATGTAGTCAATGTAGTCTGTGTTTCTGGTATTAAGTTTTTATCAGCTTTTTACGACCTCTGAAAATACTTTGACACCTTTTGTTAACATATCATGTTAGTCGGCCACAATGGCAAATCATTTTATTCACCAGGCCGCCAGATCGGCTGTGAGTTAAATTTAAATTATTTAATTGAGTAACAGGAAACGGTTGAGGTCGGTGAAAAATGATTATATCACCAGAAGGAAGCTTTATAATCGATCAGTATATTAAAAACAGGATATTAGCATCATTAGAAACATACAATCAGCCGTGCATCTTTTTTAAATATGAAATAAGTCCGAGAATGCGTAGATCCTGTCTTAGGAAGGGAGGGGGGAGGGGAAGTACACTCCCGAGAACAGTGGGAGGGTCCAGAGACTAAACAAAATGGTACAAGGCTACCCCTGGGGGCCTTGAGGGTCTAGAGAGGGGGGCATGCTGCTGATGGCCGGAAGAAGGTAACTGATAGTATGATTTCATGGTCTTTCATCTAAAACAGGGTCTACATATTCATTGGTTATAAAGGAGAAACCGTAGTAAATCAGCCCTTTGCAGTAGTGCCAGCCCTGCATTCAGTTTTGTTTTATTCACTAGTTGATAACTTCCTCAACAGGGTCTGAGTGGAGCTTATATATTTTCCGCATTCAGCATGACAGGGTGACACAGTCAGTGCTTGAGTGTATTCAGTGCAATCTCCAACACTTCTTGTCTTGAAGGAAATTAAGAGTGTATCAGTGGGTTTGCAAATCTAGTGGCCAACTATTTATGAAAACGAAAAATATTCTTAGTATCCAAAAAGCCGTGGTATTTGTCCCCTTCAGGTGGCTGAACACAGTTTCATATAGTTATAATCCGTTACCATAAATTGAGGTGTCATTTAAGACTAGTTGCAGGTATAAAGCTCTAAGTTGCACGGACAAAAGATATATATAAACATTATATTTATTAGGTTTTAAACGTAAGATTTCGATCGTTGCCATGGCAACATGGGTGCTTGAAACCAAGCGTAAAATTTTGAATTTATTTAGTCAACGCAAAATCCAGTCATTAGATTTCCTTATGAATTTGCTCAATGCTTACAATGAGAAACCCTTAGCTTATTGGCTGTGTTTTTCCTCATGATAAAGATGTTAACTTCTCAAAATCATTAATAATCGATAGAGAAAGTACAAAGA